CACAATAGAACAACTGTTGGGTTCAGCAACTTAAGCAGAAACAAAGCGCAGAAGGTCTTGGTGTGTGGACCCTCTCTCATCTCCATCCACGTCACTGGGAGTTCCTCACTTAGGGCAGAACCACTTACAACTATGATTCCCCTCAGCCGCCCGACAGGCCTGAAAAAGGACATCCCAATAAAACAGTAACAGGAAAACACTCCAATTAGTTTCCACTCCCATTTTTATTTTAACCACTAACTGAACCAGTAAGTGGACAGATCATTTTGGGGAAAAAAATCAGTGTGATAATGGAAAAGTCTAATTACAGTACACAAACCAGCCTTTTTAAGCACATGCTGTACACAGAGAAAACAGCACACAGCAGGCAACCAGATGGGGCAAGCAGTCCTATGGCAGCCTGGAACACAGAGCCCAGCAGTGTTCACATTTAAAGCTCTGTTTTCTGCATGTGGTTCTAACTACACAGACCTGTCACCTGCTTCCACAGAGGTGGAAGGAAGTGAGGCACTCACTGTCTCCAAGCTCGAGAGGCGGGGCCGACTGGTTCACAATACTAGAGTACATCTCATTACAGATGTTCAAACCAGAGGGCAGTGAGCTGCTTCTGCACAAAATGGTCTGGGGTGGCATCTCACCCGCCTCTGAATTTAAGAGGCTTTAACACCACCAAACTCTCCACTACAAGGGCCAGGGCTCCAGAGATATGAAAAGGCCCAGAAAATGGCTTCATGGGGCAGGGCATGACCAATACTGGGAACAATGCTCCCAAGCCGGCTCCCTGCACAGTAGTCCTCTCCCAGGGAACCAGCTTCCAGATCTGCCACTCCTTGAAAAGCTGGCCCTCGCCCTTCAGCATCTCAAGGTCAGAATCTGGCACAAGGCTATGTCACTGCCCAGGGCTGAGCCCCCAGCCCCACTGCTAGGGGTGTGAGGGAAAGAAACGTGTGCTAGTAGTGTACTTAGATATAAAGGCCATATTCTTTCAAACTCCACTTGTCTGAACCCCACAAAAAGAGCTCGCTTAAACTGGAGTTATGTTCTTTGTCACTGTCCCTCTCAGACATCCTCCACTTCCCAGTGGCACACAGTGGAATTTTCCACTGAAGTGCTCAGTGGCTCCCAGGGGGTGGGGGAGTTGAGAGAGGTGGGAGGACTCTGCAGCACCAGAGCATCTTGGAACCCGTTTGTTTGAAGACAAGAGTCGATCTGTGTGGATGCCTGTTCCTAGACTGTCTTGGTTAAACCTTTCTGGTCTTAGACTCCACAGAGACAGTGGATTATTCACCTTAATGCCAAAGGCTGCCTACAGACAAACCCCATTTCTTTTTCTACCTATCTGTTGGCTCTCATGCATTTAAAAATAAGTAATTCTACAAATCTTGGGGAAAATGTCACTTAAAAGAAACCTTCAAGGATACAGCACACCCCCCCCAATCCCCCCACCCCCCTACCCCCGCTGAAACAGGCTGCAGAACAACTACACACAAAAATGGAGCCACAGCACAGGCCTTGACTTGATGCTGGCAAGAAAACATAAGAACACAGAAATGTTAATAGGAAAACTACAGAAGAGACTCAATCTCCTCTAGAGAGGGCGCCAGCGCTCTTGGAGTAAGTAAGCTGCAGACACTCTTGGGAGCAGTCAGTAAAATTCCACTCATTCACCAAAGAGCTGGTTATTCTGATCACTGTACTCAGCTGTAAATAGAAGGGCATCTTGCACATAGCCAGTAGAGCTTTGCCATAAGCATATACCCAAATTTAAGGCCAGAACTCCGTTCATAGCTAAAGAGTTCTTATGGACATGGAAGTGAGCCCAGTCTCCTGGTCAGTCGCAGGCCACCTGAGGCACACAAGTTAGGCACTGAGATATCACGGTCCTTCTGCTGTCCTCTCTCTAGCACCTAGTGCAAAGAGCTTCAAATGGCGTGCAGCCCTGGCTGCTGTGTCTGCTGTAGGGCAGCACTAGGCCTCAGGAAGATGCTCCTTCTGCAACGTGTGACAACAAGGGACACCCACAAAGGTACCCTCTCCACCAAACAGACAGGTTTGAGGTGAGTCTGTGGAGGCACACGGAGAGAGCGTGCAGAGGCCTGAGTGGGAGCAGAGCAGATTCAGAGGGAAGAGTACTTGCCTGCTCCTCTAAGACCAGCAGCTCTATGTTGTACTCCAATGGCCTCCAGCCACTGCCTGTGACAACAGGAGGTCACTGACACTGAGGCTTCCATCTGGAAAGCTGATCCAGGAGACCAAAGGATCCCAACCACTCCCACTGGGCCCAAGAGGCACAAGGACCTGCTCAAGCCTGCTCTGCTACAAGGTCATAATCTGGCAGCTGACTTGTAACATGGCTGCCTTTAGGAACACAGAAAAATCATATACACAACAGCTCCAGGTGTCTGAGACCTTGTCTTCATCCTTGTCTTCATCCCATTTGAAGCCAGGTAGAACACAGGAACACTTTTAGTAAGTTTTACCTAAGCCTCAGCTGAGCATGAACAACCCCCAACTACACAAGCCTTGGGGACAGTGAGTATTTGATCTGTAGACTGGCCTGGGAATTTACCATCAAGGTGTTGTGGTGAGCAAGCAAGTTCCCAGTAACAGATCTGAAGGACAGTCTCCAGAACATGCCTGCTTCTCAAACACATGACCAAATTAGTATGTCCAATAATTGATATTCTTTTTGGCATAAAATGGTTATAGACAATATCAAAAATATTCTCAAAGTGTACCTTCCTCATCTGGGGAGACAGTCCAGCTAACCCTCCAAATGAAATCTTTGCCCACCTAAGCATTTCTCTCTTACTCGCTTCTTTTAGCCTCCTTGGCCTCTGGGCAGCAAGGGGCCAACTGGGGAAGGATCTGAGAGAACGGAAGTGCACTGCTCTGTCCTACAGAGAAGCAGCCATGTGGCAGACTGTCTGACCTGTATCTGGCACTCCTCCTGCAGTGAGAGCATCTTTATTCAAACTCCCCTTGCTGCTACCTAACTAGCACAAGTACCAAGACATCCAATCAACTGAAAACTGTGACTCCTGCAACCCTGACAAGGCCAAACACCATCCAAGACCTGTGGATGCCTTCGCCTGTAATACAGGGCATGGCAGCGAATAAACGTGGCCCCTGGAGGACATATAGGCCTATTTAATTAATGACACACACTGTTCTAGACACACACTGACTCCTGCACACAGAATCTGTGCCTTAGCCAAACTCTGAGGACATGTCACAACCTTTAGGGCTTCTGAGATGAACCAAATCTTTAAATGCTAAACATGTCATTGACAAGCCCATCTTGTTTCTGAGCCATTTTCAGTGCACTTTCTGTGGCATATCATGGGTGTAACACCTTGATTACTGACAATACATACATGCTATCTGTCAAATGGAGAAAACGCCAACTCCAGGGAAGGCTAGGCTTAATGACTCTGAAGAATCCAACTAGCTAAAACTCCCTAAGGCAGGCAATAAGAAACCTCAGGTAATTCTAAATATACTAGACCTCAGACTCATTTAACAAAAAAAAAGCCTGGAAGACATTCATTACTATACAGAAGTAAAGTGCCATGCTTGGGCCAGCAACATGGCTCAGGAGGTGGGACAGCGTGCATACAATCTTGACCACTTTAGTTCACTTCCTAGATCATACAAGGTAGCAAGAGAGATCCAACTGTCAAGAGTTGTCCTCTGACTTCCACACATGCTCTGTGGCCTGCACAGGCCTGCACTCTTATACACACACAGTCACATAAAACAGACAAGCACTTCTTACTGAAGAGCTCCCCACACTGATATGTCAATGTGTCTATAGAGAGAAAGGTCATATAAGGCCCCCATAGGAACTGATGTCATACACCCAATGTTTGTTTGTTCCACATCTCTGTAAATTAGTATTCAGATAGAGCACTTTGGAAACAGGACCTTCAAGAGAGAAATGCAGACAATGACTGTTCTCAGCAGCACAAGCCTAAAACCTGAGGTCTTCCTCGTGGTGCCTGCTCACAGAGCACACATGGAATGAACTGCAAAGCCCCTCCTTTGCTCTCTCTCTCTCTCTCTGTCTGTCTCTGTCTCTCTCTGTCTCTCTCTGTGTCTCTGTCTCTCTCTCTGTCTCTCTCTGTGTCTCTGTCTCTCTCTCTGTCTCTCTCTGTCTCTCTCATCTCTGTGTCTGTGTCTCTGTGTCTCTGTCTCTCTCTCTGTCTCTCTCTGTGTCTCTGTCTCTCTCTCTCTGTGTCTCTCTGCCCCCCACTCCCGTTGTCTCTCATATGCACACACTCCATCCTTGTTGTTATGACTGTGGAAGAAGCCCAGCACTGGCACCTGGCACTTTCTGTTTCCTAGCAACACTCAGGCAATCTGGCAAGGCCCTCACAAGAAGCTGAACACAAAACAAGGCAAGGCAATGACAGTGTCTGCAACATGTGAACTCCTGGACCACCCGAGTGCACTGCACACACCGTGAAACCACAGGAATAAGGCAGCGCCCTGATGCACTGTACTGATGCTGGGTCCAAGACAACTCAAACGTGAGACCTGAAGTCAATACTTGAGAACGTCCAGGGACGCTGGTGACTGCACAAGGCACAGAGTACTGAGTGAGAAGCCTGGACAGAACACACCTTCAGAAAACTGAGCGCTGTGTAGAGTGACCAGATTTCTCTCTGTGCAGCTGGCTCTGGCTCTAGGCCAAAGAAACCTACTTTGCCTATGTATGTGTAACCTGAGGTATTCTGAAGGCAACCGTTCTGAAGCTGAAAACAGAGCTTCCCCAGCAGGAGCCTGTAAGCCGTCACTTTGTTCATGGCTTTCTGTTCTGACCCACCTGGTCTGGTCAGTGTAACATCCCACTCTGAGACACAACATTGCTTTGTAAGTGGTACCTGAAGGACACTCAGCATACCTGGGATCTGATGGCAGTGGCACTGTGACAATTTCTAAGATGCTTAGTGTTCTTTCCCAAGCCCACACTGAACCCATCTCATGGAGAACCTTACCCTCCACGGCTGTGCTTCTGGCTGTGACTGGAGATCCTGTATGGGAGCACACGCTCACCCAGGTTTTCCAAGTTCCTCACTATGGCTCCTCGGTCCATCAGGGATTCTAGTGTACGTTTCAAAGCAGCAGCAGTCTCTGGCTGTTTGATGTTTTCATTTTTAAAGAGAAAAAGAAAAAGAAGTCACAATCAATATGAAAATTGGAATGATGAAGTCCATACTGCTAGGAGTCTCTGAATAAAAGCAAGTGAACTGGTTTTAGCTAACATAAACAAAATGCAATAGAGCGAACGGCATCTAAAATGTAAGAAGCTCACAGATACAAAGGAAGGAGTTCAGGGGCAGCGCAGCTCCGTGGAACTGGGAGGCAGAACTAACAAACGGCTTCTCTTAGGAGCTTCAGCATGCTCAACCAGAGCCAATCTCTGTCCCTTCTTCTATATTATGACTCTAATAGAAACCCCAGGAGATCACCTATGGGCAGGGCACCTGACTAATGTACCAGCATCAGCTAAGGGGGAAAGGGATTGACTAAGAGCCAAAGGGAAATTGGCAGATTGTAATCAAAAGAGCAAAGGGTCCAACCTACAGCTTCACGGAGCTAACAATCTAATAGAGTTTAACAGAGACACACGTAGGGGGCAGACAACAGAAACAGACAATGGTCTGGACACAGACGTGTGCATGTGGGTGGCCTCACTGGCCAGACAGTCTAGCCAAACTCTGAGCACAGGTCTGATGAGAGACCAATTCTCAAAAATGAAGGTGGCAAGTAAGACTGAGAAGATACCTGAAGCAAACCCATGTTCTACACCCACCCCTACAGGCACAGGTAAGTACACACACAAATGTGCGCGCACACACACATGGGGGTGCACCCTCCCACACATAAAAGTGCACATACCATAAAAACACAAAGATAAATTCTTCTTAAAAAAGGATTTATCATATCTGTCAAAAAAGAAAACAGCTCCCTAACAGGAAGGCAGCCTAAAACAAAGCACATTCTTTAACTTTGTGTCAAAATCAAGGCCTGAGCTGCATGAGCAGACTTACTTGTTTTGCTGTTAATTTCAAATTAGTCAGTAGTTTAAAGAGGGCTGGTGAGACTGCTCAGTGGCTAACAGCACTCAGTACCCAACCTGAGCTTAATCTCTGGGACGCACACGGTAGATGGAAAGGCCTGGCTCACACAAGTTGCCCTCTCAGTACACACTGTGGAAAGTGAGCCTACAGTCATGCACATGAAATAGATGCAATTTTTAAAAAGAAACTGTAAGAGAGGGCTGCAGGGATGGCTCGGCGGTTAAGAGCACTGACTGCTCTTCCAGTGGTCCTGAGTTCAATTCCCAGCATCCACATGGTGGCTCACAACCATCTGTAAAGGGATCTGATACTCTCTTCTGGTGTGTCTAAAGAGAGCGACAGTGTAGTCACATGCATAAAATAAATAAATAAATCTTAGAAGAAAAGGAAAAAGAGAAAAGAAACTATAAGAGAAACAAAAGATTTTTGGCTATTAAGTTTGCTCAATTTCTTTTTAATATATCTTACCTCAAAATAAAGCAGACTCCCAAAGACAGGGCCTCAAACTTTGTTTTGGCAAATTAAGTTTTAAGGGAACACAGCCAGTTCATGCATTTGAAGTGTTTATGGCTGTTTGTGCTTAAAGCCGATTTGTAGTTACAACAGAGACCAGATGGCCCCAAACCTGATAATTACTATGTAGCCAACCTCTGTTCTACACTGTGAAGGAATGAAGAAGCCAGCAGGGCCTCAGTCCATTCACCCTAAAAGGCATCACAAATCACAGCCTAGCCAGTGACTTCCCAGCAGACAGGTCAGCAGGCTGATGAACACTGTCAGCCTCCACTTGCCATAGGCTCAGAACCAATTCCATAACTCACTCCTCTACTGACCTATCCCTAACTTCATTCACATCTTGTAACATATGGTCTTGTATGGTGCTGAAGAATCCACAACTGGTAAAAAGGTCGGTGCCTATCTGGATTTATGTTAATGTAGCATTCTGCCCTACAGTAGAGCTTCAAGCAACAGCAGCGTTTGTCTGTGCCAACACCCCTACACCTGAAGCCCCAAATCCAAAACTAAACTTGATTACCCAAACACCTAACTCTTGGCCAGTTAACCAGAAGTCTAGCTGATTAACACTGAACAGTCAACTAGCATATCTCGGATGTTCAGTGTACTACATGTGCTGAAAAACCTGACAACCAACAATCACCTTGCTATGGCAGAGTACAGAAAGGAACTGCTCATGGTGGTCAGCTGCATTCTGGGCATTACAAGGACTCCTGGCAACACCTGAGCTCACTGTCGGAGCCACAAGATCTGGCTGGAAATGACCACAGTAGTCCTGTTACACAGCACTCTCTCACTCACTCACACAAAACTTAATATTTCACCTTTAATTCTCCTGAAACTCTCAACTCAAAAGTGTGTATTATTTTTGGCTTGTTTTTTATTTTGAGACAAGAGCTTACTCTGTAGCCTAGGCTAGTTTAGAACTTACTAGGTAGCCCCAGCTGGCCTCACATTTTTGGCAATTCTCTGCCTCAGCTTCCCAACTGCTGGGAATACAGAAATAAGGCCCCATGCCTGGCAAGTGTGCTGACTTCTAAGCCTGCAGTTGAGCTGTATGTACTTTATAATAGTAAGAGACACAACAGGTCTTGTCTATTTAATGTACTCACCATATCTTCTCTCATTTTTTCTCACAGTTCTAAGCTTTATCTGATGATAGATGCTAACTATATCTTGAAATGTTTACTGGCCATCTGCGTTTGTACCTTTGAAAACTGTTCAGTTTATTGGCTCACTTGCTGATTACAAAATTGGGGGTCTGGTGTTTAATTTCTGTAGTTCTTTATATATTCTAAACATTAGACTCATCTGACACATAGCTGTTAAGAGATCTTCTCTCATTCTGTAGCCTGTCTTTGTACTATGTTGAGAGTTCCTATCCTTTTCAATTTCATAGAATCCCACTTGCAAATTCTTGGGTTTACTTCCTGTGCTGTTAAGAGTCTTTTTTCCAGAAAGTTCTTGCCTGTGCCTGTATTCTGAAGTGCTTTACCTAATGTCCCCCTCAACATCTTGTGTTTTATATTAAGGTCTTTTATCCACTTTGAATTGATTTTTGTGCAAGATTCAAGACAGGGATCTGATTTCATTCTTTTGCATGCTGGATAACCAGCTTTCCCAGGTAAAATTTTTTGAAGAAGTTACCACTTTTCCAGTATGTTTTTCACACCTGTGTCAACAATTAGGCTTCTGTAACCACGTGGGCTCATTCCTAGGTTCTCCATTCAGTCCCACAGGGTGTACACATCTGTGCCCATGCCTGAAGCATGCTGCCTTCGTCACTATGGTTCTGTAGTATAATTCTGTCTCAGGTCTTGCGGTACTTCCAGAACTGTGCTTTCTCTTAGGACTGACTTGGCTAGATAGGATATTTTATCTTCCATGTGGATTTTAGAATTTTTTTCTCCTAGTTGTATGTATTTGACTTTGTTAGGGGCTGCACTGAACCTATAGCCTGCTCTCAGTAACATCCCCAGTTTTTGCCACATTAACCCTGTTGATCTATGGGCATAGAAAAATCTGCCATCTTCTACCATTGCTTTCAATTTCTTTCTTTGGTGTCTTTCAAGTTAAATCTATGTAGCTTGCTTATTCCTACAGTTTTTGTTGTTATTGTTATGTATGAAGAACGGGTACTTTCCTAGCAAGTTCACTATTGGTACAGAGATACCACTGATTCTGTACCCTGATACTTTCCTAAAGTACACATCAGCTCTCAAAGTTTTCTGGACTGCACAGAGTGCCTTACATATAGGATCACATCATGCACAAACAGGTCAGTGTGATATGTCCTACTGTAGTCTTTTAATTTTCTGCTCTTTCCTGTTGCTCTGGGTAAGAGGTCAAGTCCTACATCAGAGAAAATCTGTCTCATTTCAGCGTGTGTAAGAAGCACTCTGCTTTTCTCCTGTTAGTACGTTGTCGGCGATGCACTCAAAGCACAGTCTACCATGCTGATGATGCTCTTATGTTTCTCATTTGCCCACAACTGCCAAAACTTTGGTTTTGCCTTTTTTGCATCAGCATAAATTCACATATGTACCGTCCTATAACCTTGGAATGAAACCAACTTGGTAGTGATGTGTTTTTTTTTTTCTTGAAGTGTTCTTGAATTCAGTTTGCAAATGTTTTGTTGAAAATTTTTACATTGATGTTCATCAGAGAAAATGCTCTGCAGTTTTTCTCTTTTCTGCCCCTATGTGGTGTTGGCATCAGGGTAAAACTGGCTTCACAGAATGAGTACTTTCACTTTCTATTCTGTAGAACAGGTTGAGAAGTACTGCTATTGGTCTACCTTAAAAGTTAGATGGATAGCTCCATGGGGCACTGAGAAGAACACGCTTTTCTTATCTGTTGGATAGACCGGTCTACAAACATCTGTTAATTCCAACTGTTCTACAATATGATTTACCTCTTGTTTGTTGACTGAGTTTTGAAGACCTGTATGAAAGTAAGAGTGGAGTATTAAAGTCTCCTGTCATTACTGTAACAGAGCCTTTAGTGTTTGTTTCAAGAAACTGGAAGCCCACAATTAAGCACGTCAATATTTACAACTGTTCTGTCAGAAGTGGTTTCTCTCTTCTGACTAGTTCTGGTATGAGATTAGCTATGTCAGCTTCTTTCCAACCTCCATTTTCTGGGTAAGTTGGCTTTTATCCTTTGACTTACTTTTCTGATATCTCTGCCAGTCAAGTGTGTTTAAGGCAATGGATAGATAGTTGGCTCTTATTTTCTAACCCAGTTAGTCAGCATCTTTTAATTGGTGAGTTGATGCTATTTCCATTTAAAGTCACTATTGAGGGACTTTGACTGCAGTAACAAATACAATGCTTTGACAATTGTCCTAGTAAATGCAACAAACTAAAGACAGTATTTGATTAAATTCTGGAAGATTCATAGTACAGGCATACCAAATGGTCACTCTGCAAAACTTAAAATTATTTACAGTATGCAGTAGCAGTTCTGGGGAAAGCACCCACCAACCTTCACCGTGCCACTTGAACACAATTTACAAGGAGTGAGCTATAAAAGAGAA